TGTGCATTGCTGGTTGGCTTTGATACACCTCTCTACAATAGTTACAGCCTCCGCAGAGCTGATGAAAATTCTAACTTGTCATTCTGGAATTTTTCACGTTTGTAATTGCTAAAAAATAAAAACCTTAAAATTGTGTGCAGTAAATAAACAAAATATCTTGCTAACCCCACCCAAAATTGATTGTAATTGTAATGTTATTGTTTTTCTCGAGCTTCTACAATGTTGTTTCAATCCACGGATACCTTGATGCCATATCCTTAAGAGTATATATATATATTTAAATATATATATATACGCCATTTTGAACTGTTACGTGCCAACGTTCATCTTCATGAAATACGGTTTCTTCACACGAAAAAAATATCGCAGATTAGGACTTAAACAAGAAAGCGTTGTGCCGGTTGGCAAACAGGGTTGTGTAACAACTTAACCAAAACAGCCGATACTGGTCACTTTTCAGCTGAAGTGTGTTAGCTGCTAGGTAAACTAGATGGCCTGTCCAAACTCGTACCCAGAGAGAAGCATACTGGTCCAGGCACTATTAGGCTGCAGTAAACACGGCTGTACAATGAGACCGATGATGCCATATTACACAATGACCATTTCCACCCTAAACCCATATCCCATCGGTGATCTATTTATACGTCGAAATGATGGTAGAGACAGACTATTTTAATCTGCGATGAAAGTAGCTGTTCGTGTCTGTCCTCTGAATGCAATCCACGTTTCTTCAAGAAATATGGATTGATCACTGTGTTCAACACAAACAGCACTCTTTTGCCCCACCGTGTCTCATTGGGTCTGTCCGATAACCAACGCACCAGTGAACAAAGCACGAGGCAAAATCCTAAAGGCCCTGTGCATCGCGCCTTAAGAAACACTGACATGAGTGCGTCCGTCACATCTTACATTGGATCCCCTCTCCTCCCATGAACTTTTGGGTCGAACTTGGAATACGGTTGGTCGAAGTGTATTGAGCACCTTGGACACCCACACATCGCTCCATTATCTTCTGAGTCAGGCTTTGGTTAGCCGAAGGCTACGGCTGTGAATTTCCTAAGACCGTTTAGACGTTTTGGCCTGGACAACCCAGCAGTATCGCGCCCTCCAGCGAATCATAGAGCTTTTTATCAGGATTATTGTGCTGTGATTTGTTTGTCACAGTGGAATTATTATCAGGGGATACTAGGTATTTATGTACATCTGACCACAGAGGAGTGCAAAATTAGGTAAAAACATCGTGAGCATATTACGAATTGCGCAACGGCGTTTGGAAACGAACTGTGTTCTGTCTGGATTGTTTGCTACTCGTTTAAGTTCAAAGGTCAAAGTTTTATTAGGGGTGATTTAACCAAGCTATCATGCTCCACCGGATTTTTGCAGAATGTTTTGGGCAAATTCAAAAATAGAAATAATCATAATATGCATGATGAGTCACGAAGTTCGAAACGTTAAGTGTTTCAATGCTTTATCACGCCGCGATTTGATTGATTCAACTGTAAGAACATAAACAACATGGGATGGAAGAGAATTCTATATGCTGCACATTCTGACTGCAAATGAGTTATGCCGGTAAGCTGAGTGAGTGTTCTGGGTACTCAAATTCAATGGATGTCCCCTGAGATGATTACTTCAAGATAAAGTTAACACAGAACGGCGAGGATGTTTGGGTTAATGCAGTATGTGGTATGTTAAGATTAGGTCCCACCCACCCTGAAGCCGACGGTACTGAGACCAGTAAGGCCTCAATGGTTGCAGTCTTTCGGGGTATGTCTTATCATACAGATATTTTACCCGTTTTGTTGCCACTCTTTGCGGACGTTCTAGAGCCCCTTTTTTCACCGTTCAGCTATGGATTCCATACGTGAACGGTGTATTCCGTGTGTTACCAAACAAACGCTGACAGCAAGCGTGGGAATAGAGCTATTTTGTGCAGTCCGAAAGCAGATTTAATGACTCCAGCTTTCTTTAGAGCCATGGATGATGGTCAGGCGCAGTGCATGGAACATCCTACGTCTTCCTGTACCATAAGCCCCCAAGTCCCTTCCATCAGTGACATACCGTAGTATTTGGTTCCTTACAGCGTCGGAGAAACGAGCAGTGTGCCGCATGAAAATAACTTGGCATTTCGAAACGCCGGATTCAAATATCATTGGTCACAGACCAGCGGTGCAATGCATTGATCGCTTCCTGGAGTGACAAATAATGCTCTGGATGTTACTGTTCTCCAGACTTTACGTCGTCCGCGAATAGTAGTGTGTTTGGCCCAAGGATAAGTGGTACGACGCTTGAAAATGCAAGAAAAAGACGAGGTCTCAGCGAGGACGTTTGTGGAACCCCTCGAATAGGGGCGATACCTTCAGATAATGAACCACAAACACGAACTGATATGGTTCTTCGCGGGAAAAACTCCTCGATCCAGTTGCGAGCCAAACCACTTGGTTCCCAGTTTTAAAGTTTTCGCAGTAAAACTAGGTAGTTCATTCGGTCAAATGATTTGGAGAAGTGCAAATAAACTATGCCCAATGATTCGTTTATTTCGACGGGTTTTGTCCACTCATCTCCTGCGAGAAGCAGATTTGTGGCACACAAATGTTTGTGCGAAATCCATGCTGAGCTGGAGACAAAATGTCATGCTTCTCCAGATACTCCATCAACAGATCTGATAGAATATCGACACTGAGAACGAAGACCAAAACAACACCCACACGTAACACTACCAGTTTGTATTGTAACCATTTCATATTCCTATAGTATTGCTACGCATCAGATCAGTAAAATTTCGTTCCAACTTTTCTAGTCTTCTCCCTGATTGGAACATACTGCATATGAAATCCCCTTATGTTTTCGCGGATGATGTCGGAATTTCAGCGGTTGCTCATTTCATGAGGAATCGTAACAAATGTTCAAGAAATAAACGTCAAGATCACCATAATAAGCATCGCGCTGGCTGGCTGGTTGCGCTCAGGTGAATTTCCATCAACAGAATGACGATTCCGTCTATTCATTCGAGTAACATTCGCTCACATGTGGGACAAATCGACGACGTCTTGAACCTGGTGCATCAGTGTGGGAGTCATTTCACTGCAGGAAAGCTGGTTACACCCGGATACTGAGGATGATGTGGTCGGATTGGACGGCTTTGATATTTTCAGGAGCGACCGGATTGTGAAGTTTCGTGAATTGAAGTTGGTGTAAGATCACTCGTTTGATTCTACTCAACAGTCAAAATTAATTGTACTTTTTTCGTTGCAAGCCTCAATTTCTCAGTGGTGGTGGCGCAGTGGTTTAGTCGCTGTCGCCAGCGTNTACCGCAAACTCAAGCGAAATCCTGTGACGATTCGGAACTCCCGCCGAAGAGGAAGGCCGAAATACCTTCGAATATAATGCCCACATTCATTAGCATTTTGGACCTCCTGTCCGCTAACAGTCAGTTTCCAAAACCTTGTCCTCCTATCCCAATCCCGGAAAAGTTCGCAATCGGTAACAATTACAACCGTTGAGAGAGACAAACAAAAATCTAACTCCGCAATTTCCCACGATAAAAATGCCGACCTAGTGTATAGCCTCCTCACAAGCGAGGCATTCGACATGGTTTCCGATTCCCGGATCTTGGATAATGATGTAACGGACGACACATTCAAGCAGCTCAGACAACTCATGGATACGCCAAACCTAGTGATCGAGTACCGTCGGGAATTCTATTCTCGACGAGAACTCGCTGATGAAAACGTCCGCACGTATGCTCGAACTCTGCGACATCTAGCGGAGCGTGCATTTCCAAACCAATCTAGCCCAGAACGCGATCGCCGATTCCTGGAACAGCTCGTTGAGGGCACATCATCCACCAGTGCCCAAAAAGAATTCTACCTACAACACCCAGAGGAATTACACGAGGCTGTCGAAAGGGTGAAGGTACTGGAGAGACGCGACGCAACAATAGCCCACCAAAGTAGAGCACAATCCCCTTACACTCACCGTTTCTTCCACGTCGGTACTCCTCGATGCATACCACCCCAAAGTGGAGCAAAATTTAGCCGACCCGGATGTTGGGATTAGCGAGGTCAATTTTGCCGACGAGGGACTCGGAGAGGACTCAGAAAAGGTGAGTTCCCACCAAACATCGTCACCCCAGTCTGATCCACTTCTCTCTACGCGTCGTCCCTCGCCGCACCACTGACATTCCAGGACAGAACTATATCCGGCCTGATAGATACCGGGTCTACCCACAGCCTGACTCGGGCATATATCGCCCAAGACCCACCGGGAGGAGTAAGGCACAGAAATCACGACCGCTTAGCAGCCGAAAACGGTTCGGCAATGAAGATGGAAGGAGTATTAATTGAAACGTTCAGTCTAGGAACACACTGATTAAGGCACAAGTTTATAACCTCCCCAGAAATCCCATTTGGGTGCATAATCGGACTAGACATTCTGAAGTCGGCGAAAGGTCAAATAGACACCTCAACCGCCATCTTAAAAACGCCACATAACACGATACGTCTGCGAGAAGGTAAAATCCCAACATTACAGGTAAACCTGTCGATGCCAACACAAAATAGTGACCCTTTTGTCCGACAGAAAACCTGTGACTTAATCAAGAACAATGATCCAGGGGTGGAGCCCAAATACGCCGAGGAACTCCAGCGTGTGATTGAGCAGTATGCTGACACATTCACTTAGAGTGATACTCAGTTAGCGCAGACAGGCCTGGTAAAACATCGAACAGACACAGCAAACGCCCCACCGATAAAGATTCCTCCTAGACGCATACCGGCATTCTGGATGAGCGAGTTATCGAAAAAAATTCAGCATATGGAGAAATGTGACGTCATCCAACCTTCTACTTCCTCTTGGTCTGCATCAGTGGTGCGAGTAAGAAAGAAAGACGGCGGTCTCCGCTTGTGCGTCGATTACAGACAGCTGAATAAAGTGACCAAGAAGACTGCGTTTCCATTTCCGAGGGTCGACGATCTGTTCAACGCGCTGGTTAACGCGAAATACTTCAGTACTCTGGGTTTAACATCTGGATACCAGCAAGTGGAAGAAGATGAAAAAGACCGCCCCAAAACAGCGTTTTCCACGCCCTAAGAGGCTCTACGAATTTCAGACGATGCCATTCGGTTTAGTGAACGCACTGGCAACGTTTCAACGATTAACGCAGCAGGTCTTGAAGGGTCTGATCCCAAACCAATGCCTGGTTTATCTGGACGACGTAATCGTTCACGGAACCACGGAAAAGAATCATTTAAATAATCTAAAAGCAGCCATCAGTTGACAGAAAAAATGGCCTCCGCCTGAAACCGGAAAAATGCCACTTTATGCAGTCACAGATTGCATATCTTGGACAAACCATCTCGGCAGCAGGAATTCACACAGATCCAAAGACAGCCAAACAGATGCAATCCTGGCCTACACCACAGAGTTTGGAAAAAGTCAGAAGCTTCCTAGGCCTAGCGTCCTACTACAGGCGATTTACAGCTAATTTTGCTCAAATTGCTTCACTCCTACACTCCATGTTGGAAAAGAACAAACCATTGAGATGGGACTCCGAATGCGAAAAGTGATTTCAAACACTAAGAAAAATGCTTTGTACAGTACCCATTTTGGCACTTGCTGACACGTCTTCGTCTGCTCGGTAGTTTATTCTGATACAGATGCTAGCGACACAGCAATCGGTGCAGTGCTGTCACAAATCGGACGAGACGGAAAGGAGCACGTTATAGCTCACGGGAGCCGATGCTTGAGCAAAAGAGAAAGGAACTACTGTATCACTCGAAAAGAGATGTTAGCACTGGTATTCTTTCTGAGACATTAAAGACACCATCTAGTCGGCTGCAAATTCATTGGCCGTACTGACCACCAATCCCTACGCTGGGCACAAAATTTCAAAGATGCTGAAGGTCAAGCGACGCGTTGGCAAAAGATAATACAGGAATGACTTCGAATGCCTCCACAAACCCGGGAAACAGCATAGTAACGCCTACACGCTATCACGACGCCCTGCCTGCCACCATACAGATTGCCCAACCAATACGTTGGAACAGTGTGGCTGCAACGTGCGAAATAGGGGCGTTGGCAAACGGATCAAGCGAATGATCCAGAAACTGCGTTATTCTACCATCGAGTTCGCACAGGCGTTGATCGACCAACAAGCAGCGAGATGGAGGGAAAGAGCTACGAAACTCGGTGCCTTTGGTCGATGTGGAACCAACTGAAAATGGCATGGGGAGTGCTATTTGTTCATTACGGCCCAGACTACACATCACGGATAGTTGTGCCGTAAACATTGGTTCGTGAAGTCCTGCAAGACCTTTATACAGAGTTGGGTCACGCGGCTATCAACAAACTGGAGTTCGCAGCGAGACAACACTTTTGTTGGCCGAACATACATAGAGACGTGGTAAATTTATGTAACGCATGTGAACTCTGCGGCAGTTTAAAAAATCCGTCCCACAGTTATCTGGCACCACTCCAGACAATCATTGCTGGATACCCCAGTGAAATGGTCGGTGTCGATATAATCGGGCCCCTTCCGGACACGATAATGGACCACAGATACATTCTTGTATTGGTGGACTATCTCAGAAAATAATGTGA